CTGTCATTGCTTTTTGCTTTTTTTTTTTTTTTTGTGTGTGTGTGTGTGTGTTCTTTATTCCGTGTTCTTCTCCAAGCACGTTTGAGAAGTTAGCGCCCGGTAGTTCGAGCCTCGGCAAGGCTCGGCATACCGGTCGGCCGAGGCTCAGACTTGATAGCTGGGCCAAGTACTGGTGTTTTAAGACTGAAGAGCAGCTGAGTTGTTGTTCCTTACATCAAGAATAGTAGAGGTTACTGTGAGGATTTGACCCCCCTTGGCATATCTGCATAAGACCGTCACAACAAACACGTGCCCGCCCTGAGCGAAGGTGGGCTCCTGAATCTCGMCTCTCTCTCTCTCTCTCTCTCTCTCTCTCTCTCTCTCTCTCTCTCTCTCTCTCTCTCTAGCGTTTTGAAAAACAAAAAGGGGAATGGATCTTCCCGCGTCTCTCTCTCTCTCTCTCTCTCTCTCTCTCTCTCTCTCTCTCTCTCTGCCTCTCTCTCTCTCTCTCTCTCGCGTCTCGAAAAACAAATAGGGGAATGGACCTTCCCACGATAAATATGGTGAAGGCTGCAAGTAATAACAGCCTTCTTTTGTGGGATAGATGAATAGGAGTCGGAAGTCCTGAATCGTTCTGAAGACACCAAGCAAAGAAAAGAAACACAATGCAGAGTAACGCCATGGAAACAAAACAACAAAATGCAAAGCAAAACAGAGAAAATTGAAGCAAAGCAAACCAAAGGAAACTGATGAGAAGGGACAAAGCAAGGCACAGAGAAATGGTATAAGTAGCGGCTATGTATCCCCCGTGGTCATGACCGTGGGGCCAAATCGGCCTGACGGTCGAGAATCTGACCACCGAGGTCGAACGTGGGCGACGAGTTTTTTTTGTTTTTTTTTTTGAAAAATAAAAGTCCCCTTGCCCTGCAATCAATCAATCAATCAATCAATCAATCAATCAATCAATCAGTCAATCAATCAATCAATCAGTCAATCAATAATCAATCAGTCAATCAATCAGTCAGTCAATCAATCAATCAACCAATCAACCAACCAATCAACCAATCAATCAACCAATCAACCAATCAATCAACCAATCAATCAATCAATCAATCGAAAAATCAATCAATCAATCAAGAATTTTATTTATTTATTTTTTGAAATTTGTTTTCTCATTGGGGTTCCGGAACCCCAATCCGCAACTCCCACGGTAGCATCAAATTAAGATCCATTCAATCTCAGGCTGTGGCAGGCACTGGAGGAAGTGTTTTTTTTTTTTTTTTTTTTTTTTTTTTTAAATGGAAGACAAGGTCAGGGTCTGTTGGGGGGTATCACAGCTGGAGGAAGTTCCAAACACATACATGTATCACTTTTTTCGGGGTCTATGACTGCTGATGTGCCTTGCTTGACCTGGATGACGATTGAGACAGGACTTGAACGCAGTGAATGATCCTTTGGTTATGTACTCCTCTGATGAATCCAGGTGTTCTGGGACAAGGTCAAGAAGACTATTGTGAGCAATGAGAGTGCCGATATCATGAAGATGCTCATTCATGACTTCAACGATTTAGCCTCTGAGGACAGTCCAGATCTAGCTCCAGCAGCGCTGCAGAAACAGATCGATGAGATCAACGGTTGGGTAACACCAGACATCAACAGCGGTGTGTACCGCTGCGGTTTTGCAACAAGTCAGGACATCTACAATGAGGTGAGTAATAGACCATTGAAACATCATGCCTAGCTCTTTCTGCCTCTGCGGATGTATAGGACAAGTAGCACTTCCTCTGTTTTGGTCTTTTTTTCACACACACACGCACACACACGCACACACACACACACACACACACGCACACGCACACATGCGCATGCACAGACATGCACACACACACGCATACACACACACACACACATGCGCGCGCGCACACACACACACACACACACACACACACACACGCCCCATCTCTTCTGGGGGTACAGTCTGGTTGCTTATCACCGGCGAGCATTTGAAACAGCTCACAGAAAAGATGAGAAAGAGAAGAAAATGGCATGAGTAACACCAGACGAACGAAAAGTGAGTGAAAGAGACGACAAGAAGAGCATAGCAACACCATGTCCCTGCGGCACGCACTTGTTGTGGTGGATGCTCCTGGGTCATTGTTAAGATGCTCAGGTCGCCACGGGCTGTGACCTTGCCAGACTGGAATGAACCTGGTGCAAGAATGAAGAACAGTGCATGCTGGAAATCTAGCAAATGAACATGGCCAGAGCTTCACCATCGCTATGGGCTGGTGAAAATGAATGTACCAAGACTTCACTCGCAGTGGATGCATGTTTTTTGAGAAAATGGATATGTCACTCTCATACATGCGTGTTCTGTGGAATCCTAGGCGGCACACCGGGATATCAGGGTCCCCCCGAAATTACCTGGGTCATCTGGCCGGATAATGCTGGGCAGATGGTACCGGATGAACATCCAGGCCCTGCGCAAAATAGGTGCAGGCCCAGATTTACGACCTGGGGGTGGTGGGGGTGTTGGGGGGGGAGTGATGATGACCATACTTGGCCAGTGGGAAAAAGAAAGTGGGCCATGAGGCCAATAGATTTTGAAGAAAGTTGATCTGAACCCCCTTGGCCTTTCCACCTTACCAAGTGGGATGAACATCATCCAGTGTGTGCTCAACATAGGTGCAGGGCCCAGATTCACGATCTGAGCCTGTGGGGAGGGGTTGGTGACCCCTCTTGGCCAGTAGGAAAAACAAAAGTGGGCCATTAGGCCAACAGATTTTGAAGAAAGTGATCTCAACCCCCCTTGGCCTTTCCTTCTTACTACCGTATTTTCTTACCGTATGAACAACATACAGTACCTGCACAAAATAGGTGTGGGGCCCGGTTTCAAGATCTGCCCCCCTTGGCCAGTAGGCAGGAAAAGAAGTGGGCCATAAGGCCAACAGATTTTGAAGAACGACCCCCCTTGGCCTTTCCTTGTTCCGGCACCAACACGGCCAGCAAAGTTTTTTTTTTTTTTTTTTCACAAAACAACACGAGAATCTTTATTTCAAATATCAATACAAGGCTGGGGACCTCACAATTCTACCTGGAAAATACTGACGGCATCAGCCAGCTTAGCTTCAAGGCTTCAGAGGGAGAGACTATACTACGCAGAGTTCCGGTCCCAAACGGACCTCTGTCCTGATGTCTCCTCTCTGAGCAAAGGTTTCACACACAAAAAAAACTAGTCGCTCTGTTTTTCTTTCTTAACCCGAAAAGAGATCTAGTTTATCATGAGCCCAGCGCCCAATGCTGGAAAAGACAGCATCGTGCAGTTCATAGGAAAAAAGATTCAGGGGCCGGAAGACCTCCACGACCCCAGCCTTGCTGAAAAGAAACCCGTCGCCTACGAGTTTCTTCCAAAAAAGACGGCGCACGCGCCGTCGGTAAAAAAAATCGGTGGCCTGTGTCGCCTACCGGATTCTGACGGGTGCCCGTGACCGATAGCTGGATGTACTTGTGCTTTAAAGCACTAGTACACCATACGTCGGCCCGCAGGTGTCAGCATGAAACCCGCACCACTTTGTCTGCAACACTGTATCCAATGTCGCACTTACTGTCTGGCGCCCAGCGCCCAGCCTTTTCTACTCAGCCTATCTAGCCTGTCTACGTTCTCGCAACTGGATCACTCTGAAGTCGAAGACCAATGTATGTGATATCAACACCAATGCCGATCACCAGCATACACCAGGTACGTTCTCTCCTCTCATCATCACCCCTCGTCTCCCCACAGCGTGGGCCTCCTACCCGAAGACCACCTTCGCCATCACCTGCCTTGCGCCCCTGCAGCCCGGCTATGGCTGCTGTGCGCCCACTGCCCTCGCAGCGCCCTTTGGCTCAGCGCCCGTGCGCGCGTCCGACTAGCAGCACTCATGCAGACACTTGCGCAGCAACGCAGCAGTGTGTCCGCATTGCCTGCCTAGGCCAGAATGCCTCTCCCTGGGCTGGCCTCCCTGGGGAAGTTTCCAGTAGCTTCCAGTCAGGCCTCAGTCTCTGTGCCCAGGCCCACCTCTACAGTTATAAGGGCCTGGGCCCTTTGGTTGGGCACATATAGGTAGCCTCCCAGGCTCCAAGGGTTGGCCACGTTCTCCTTGGCTTGCGGAGATTGTGTGATGACAATGCTGCTTTCCCATTCGTCTGTGGCCGCTGCGTGGTGTCGGCCTCACGCTGTGTGTGCCCAGGGCGCAACCACCCGGCCCTGGGCTCAAAATGTCGAAAATAGGCCTCTTGTGGATATTCAGGCCCACCTTCACTTAGGGCGGGCACAAGGCTTGCTGGGGCCCACAGCCGATAACACTTGCATGTCTGTTAGGGCGCTGTGAGGGCTCAGTCCTCGCACTCGGGACATAAGAATTGGAACTGGGGGAAAAAAAAAAAGAAACCCTGGAACGATACGGAGAAGGGTTAATTAATTAATTATGCCATATAATAAATTTGGTTTCTTTTTTTTATGGTTAAAAATTTCACTGCTTTTTTTGGGGGGGGTAACTACGGCCCAGTCACGAAAGCAGTTTGTAATTGCATTTCAAACTGCGTTTTAGCAGTTCAGTCAGGCACGTGGGCCCTTTTTTTTTTTTTCGTTTTGTTTTCGTTTTTTTTTTTTTTTTTTTTGGTAACCCCCTTCAGGCGTGGCCTACACACGGACACGTGGCCCCGCGACAGAAACAGATGCTTTTTTTTTTTTTCTCTCCTCGTGCGTCGCCAAGACATTTATCGGCCATGGCCCTTTCACGTGCCTGACTGAACTGCTAAAGAAGGCCAGCCCTAGTTTCAACTGCATGTGAAACTGAACTGCTAAAACGCAGTTCGAACTTTGAAATGCAATTACAAAGTGTAACCCTGTCAAGTCAGCAAACAGTGGCTAGAACCCCGAGCTTTCATCAGTTTTGTTTGTTCTATTGCCCTAACGTTCTTGATTCTCTCTAATTTTCCATCCGTTGTCAAAGGGATTGTTGTTCTCCTTACTAGATTAGGATTAGGGGTTGTGTTTCCTCTCTGGTTTGTTGTTTTAATTTTAGATTAGTTTAGAATGCTGACTGCCCTAAACCGCGAGGAGGTGGGTGGGTTTGCAGGGTCTTCGACCCCTGCCGCGTGGGAGGTAGGACGTTTCTGCTCACTACTGAAGGTACGATAGGCATTTGTCTTCTTATCACCGGCCTCAGGTTCTGCTATCATCCGATTTTCTGACGTGGATTGGTGAGCATCACTCTGCAACGGGGGGAGGGTGAAGAGACTTCCATTAGGGAGTGATGCAGATTGGGGGAGTGGATTACCCTACATCGCAAGGAGGTGGGTGGGTTTTGCAGGGCGTCGGCCCCTGCCACGAGGGTGGTAGGGTATTTCTATTGGTTTGCAACAACAGCATCACGGTTGGAGTTGCTGTTTTTGATAAACAGTGAGTGAGGGTTTCTTGGTGGCGCAATCCTCTCTGAATTGCGAGGAGGCGGGTGGGTTTTGTGGCGTCTGTATCCGCAGTTGGGGGTCTGTAGGTACAGTCCCCTGCCGTGCGGGTGGAAGGGCAGTTCTGCAGGGTTTGGCTAAGTTGTGGATGAATGGGGGACTTTTGTTGGTTCTCTTGTCCTTTGGGTTTGTTTAGAAGCAGCCACTGTACTGTCTTTGGTTGGAATTCCTCGTTGTTCTGTCTTGGCGGTCTGGGCCTGACCCTGGCCGGAGTTGCCGGGACCTCGCACTGTGACCGCCACTCTTTGTTTCCGACCCTTCAAACACCCTCTCGCCTCCCAACTCCCGCCGCTTTGGAGATGTGCACCTGGTTCGAGGTGGAGACGTCGTCGCCCAGCCCCTGTCCGCCTTGGCCTCCGAGGATTCGCCATCGCACTGCCCCGCCGTCGAGCTTTCCCTCCATCGGTAAGCATCTTCTTTTTCTTCTTCTTCTTCTTCTTCTTCTTCTTCTTCTTCTTCTTCTTCTTCTTCTTCTTCTGGGAGAGAGAGAGAGAGAGAGAGAGAGAGAGAGAGAGAGAGAGAGAGAGAGAGAGAGAGAGAATGCATGGGCGCGTGCAGGAAATAGCGGGCATGTAGAAAACAGCGCGCGCGTGCGGGAAAAGCGGGCACGCACAAAACAGCGGGCGCACGCGGGAAATAGTGGGCGTGTGTGCTAGAGAGAGAGAGAGAGAGAGAGAGAGAGAGAGAGAGAGAGGGAGTTTGGGCATGCGGAGTTAGAGAGAGAGAGAGAGAGAGAGAGAGAGAGAGAGAGAGAGAGAGAGAGAGAGA